TCGTCGCCGCACCCGCTCAGTCTTGGGCGGATTTTTGAGCAGTCTTACAGGCTTCGTCAAAACACCCTGGGTATCCACCGGCCTTCTAAAACCACTCAAGCCTGGTTTCTTGTTTGCAGTCGCTTGTTTTGAGGGACGTTCTTCTTCGGTAGTTATGATATCCATGACCATGAGGAACTGCAAATGTTACCCACCACAGCCTGTAAAAAGCTTGGTTTAAGATCAGCGTGTGACACTTCTGCAAGTGTGAAATCTGGAGTACATACACTGCGCACGGCACATGTTTTTTTGTCAATCAGCCGCTGTGTGAGTTGATTGGCCAGAAGGAGCTGCTTGGGAGCGGCAGACCTTCTGCTGGCTCAAGTCAAGGTCTAACTTGCACGTCATGCTTGAACACAGCAAGACATTGAAGCAAATGCAGCCGCAACCAATTTTGTTCCATTGTCAGTTGTTTGGCTTAATTCCATCTGTCGTTGAGAAGATGGCTTCGATTGCGTACATCTCTATTACTTCAATGCTGTTTGGAACGTTTGGCGAGGTTGCGGTCTGCCCTGTGGGTTCATGCCAAGCCTTGGAGCCCTGGACGCAATCTTGCTACGGGTACAAGCAAGCATCGAAAGCTGCTGCCGGTGGGACAGCTTACGTGGCGTTTTGGGATTGTGCTCACAGGATGTCTGTGGCGCTTCGCATGGCTCCAATCAGCCCAAAAGACTGGCCGGCAGGAGAAGAGTATTTTTACCCGTCGCAAAGCTTGCAGAGCCTTCTGCAGACCTTTCAAGCAGTGTCACCTGAGGAGCATTGGGTGTATGCCAGCCTCCACTACGGCCTTCAAGCTATCCCACGAGTCATGCGCAGGTTTACAAAAGACAGTGAAATCAAAGCTGAAGTGTTGTGGCGGCAGAGCGCCAGCTTGACAAAATTGATGTTCATGGTTGTTCCTGTCGCAGCAGAGTGTGAGCTCTGCGTGCAGCATTCCGGCAAGCTGGAGGTGTGGAAGCGCCAAGAGAGAACGCAGCTTGCAGGCGCTATTCGCTTGCGAGTTTCGGTCCTTCAAGAGTTCAACCCTCTGGAGATTTCAGATCTAACGCATGCACAGACAGTCCTGTTCATCTGGGGCTTCCTCACTGACATAGCAATTATGGCCCGCATGGGCTTCTGGTTCGATTGCCATATGGGAAATATCGTGTGCCAACTCGACCAATACGGTGAAAAAGCTTTCGCATGGCTTGACTTCGGAGGGCGAACTGGTGGCGACATGTTTTTCAGACAGCTCACCGACACGCTCATGGCTGGTGTGGGTCGCCTACAGGAGCTTGGCGCAAATGCCACAGCGAAGTCGCTGTCCGAGCTTGTCAGTTCGTTCCCCGGGCTGGACCAGGTGGCTGAGCGAGCGCAGGAGATCCTGATCGAGACAGCGCCAGATTACGAGTTTGCGAGCCATGTACTTCAACGTGTGGGGCCCCTTCGTCCAGATCGGCTGCGGAGCTTGCAAGGGAGACGGCCTCGCGCAGGCTTGCCATGTTCGACATGTTTCGGCAATGCTTTCTTTCGCAAGCATATTGCATACTCACTACAAACCAATCTGTCATGCCTTGTCATGCCCAATGCTCTTGGAAGCGTCCATGTTGCACAGGGCGGAGAGATACCAACCATTGGCGTTCTGCGAGGCTCGTTGAGGTCATCTGTCTGGGTGCGGGAGCTGATCCGCAAGGACTGTGCTCTCTGAGTGCGAGTGCCGGTAATTGGCGTGCAAGGAATCGTTGACTGCATCGGTGGCACTCAGCAGCTGAATCTAGGGTTGGGGCACGGCTGTTTGGATGCTCGCCGGGCGCACCGTCATCGGCATGCGGCGGACGTCTGTGGTGGGGGCACACGTCCGATCGCGGGCAGGGGAGGGGTGTTTCGGCTGTTCGTTGCTGGGAGTGTTTCTGCAACCTCGCTATCAATTCATGTCTGCCGCACCACTCGCCGGGTGCCGGAGCTGGCCGGG